TCACGGCCCTGCTCTCGCCACCGGCCCCGGCTTTGTTACTGGTCTCCGCTGGGCCGGCTTAGGAAGCTGAGCGGCCGGGAGCCGGGCACGTTGGGGGCTCCACCCCCGGGGGGTCGCTGTGGGCAGGCGCCAGGCCCAGCTGGCACTTTCTTCCCCAGCGTGAGAGGGGAGGGGAGGCAGCCGGGCAGGAGGGAACGGGCTGGGCTGAGGATAAGGGAGAGGCAAGTTCCCTTGCTGGGCTCCTCCTCTCGGCCAGGGCCAACGCTCTCGCCCTCTCTGGGCAGATAATTCTGGGGCACGGTGACGCCTGGCGTGGGGCTGGCACACGCCAGTGGCCGGACTTGCTATCCTGGGCAGCACTAGGCCAGGAGCTGCTGGAATTTGCACTGAATTGTCATCGGGCAGAGTCTGGGGAGGGAGTCACCAGGGCTGCTCCTGCACTGGCCACAGGGTGGGACTCTAGAGCCTTGGCCAGGGGCCTGGGGGGCCTGCTCCCCCCACGAGCCCCCTGGAAACTCTCAGCAACCTCCCAAGGGGATTTATCGGCTCCGCTTCCCTCCTTGGCTTTGACCATCTCTGGCCTTTTACTGCCACCTCGTGGAGGTTTGTGTGGCGCCCGCCCCTCGGTGCACGCAGCTGGCACAAACCAGCCTGGGGTGGATTCTGCCCGGTTGGCCTGGCAGGGGGCCGAGCTGGCGCTAGGCGTACACAGCCTAACCATCGCTCAGGGCCCCGAGCAGCTCCAGGGGGCCCCCATTCACTTTTTATTATGTGTTGGGGGGCAAAATATTCCTGCCTAGGCCCCCCACTGGGCTTGTGCTGCCTCTGGGGTGGGCCCTGGTCTTACAGGACTTTAGGGACTGGGGTTCAGTGCCTCTCTGTGCCACTGATGCCCGGTGTGACCATGGGTGATTCCCTTAGCCTCGGTGCCTCAGTTTCCCAGCTGTAGAGTGGGGATAACAGCCCTGCCCTGCCTCCTGGGCAGGGGGAGGGGGCTACAAGCAGTGTCAGGTGCTCGGACCCTATGGGGCTGGGGCCAGATCAGAACCCAAGATGGCCAGGGAGCTGGAGGCGGCAGATATCACATTCACAGCCCTGGCAGTACCAGGCACGTTCCCCACGGGCACCAGCCCCTTTCCCCTGTGCCTCGCCCCTGCCTAGGAACTGAGCCCCATGACGAGGGGCGATTTTCCCCGCTGGCATGGGCTGTGCTCCACCAGACTCAGCTCCGCTAACGGCCCTGGGCGGGGAGCGCTGTGCAGTCGCTGCAGACCCCCACTCTGGACGGGAGCCCGTGGGGCGAGCCGGCCGGTCCCTCGGGGCTCAGTCACTGTCAGATCAGCAGTGACGAATCTCTGCCACGCGGCGTGCCCCGTCTGTGCTGCAGAATGGCTTGCTGGGCCTGATCCTCCCCGTGGCAAAGCCCCGTTACCGCCCTTGCCCCAGCTGGGTGAGCTCTGCAGCGCTGCTCTCTGTGCGCCACCCCCCACCCCATAGCGACGCTCGGACACGGCCCCTTCCTGCCGTGCAGGCTGGACACCAGCATCTCTGTAGAATGGAGCCGGCTCAGCCCCCAGAGCTGGGCTGTGCCCTTGGCCCCTGCCCTGGGGACGTACAGGTGTGTTTGGGACCTGCAGTGGCACAGGGTGGCAGGCGTCTCCTTGCCCCTGCACCAGGCCTGTGGGTGGCTCCATCCCGCTGCGAGTGGGGCAGGGACAGGGCAGAGCTGGGGTGGTTGTTAGCACACCCAGCCCTTATCCGTGCCTGTCCTGACCCCTCCGGTTCTGCTCCTTGCCCTGCATTTCCCTGAATCAACGCAGACCCTGCCCCAGCTGTGTAAAACCGGGGCAGGCCGGGCCTCAGCTCCGCAGGTCCCCTCCCTCCCCCTGGCCTTGCCCGGGTCAGCCTCCTCCCTCACAGGTCAGAAGGAGGCAGCTCCAGCAGGGTCCAGCCCCCTTTTCCCACAGCTCCAGGCCATCCTGGCCCCTGGGACCTTCCCAGCAAGGACCAATGCAGGGCAGTGAAACCCGGAGCCTCTGAGGTGCCACCCAAATGCTCCTCTGCCCCCGCTGCTGGGCTCGGACGGGGGATAAGGAGCCGGGGGCCCCTGTGCGTTACTGAGGCTTGTCGGTAACATGAGCATGCACGGCTGGAGCCGTAAGAGCCAGAATGCGCCGCGCCCCCTTAGCATCGCTTGCTGAACTCGGCTCTCCTCCGAGCAACGGGGCGTCTGTGCTAGCGAGGGACCAGCGCCTTCAGCCTGGGGGAGCCCTGGGAGAAGAGGGTCTTGGGCCGGAGGAACCTGCTCAGCTCCCTCTCCTCCTCCATCGCCTTCCTCAGCTCTGAGCTCCCGTCCTCCTCCCCGCCCCAGGGCCTCACCTGCCCCGCCACCATCTCCGGCGTGGGCACCGCTGCCGTCACCCCCTGTGTGATCGGCCCCCTTTACAGCACCTTGATCTGGCTCTGGCCTGGGCTATCCCGCTTCCTTCGCTGGGTGGCTCCAGTCTCTGCTCTCCAGGGTTCAGCCTGGGCAGGCAACAGAGAGAAGCCAGCCTAGCGAGGGACGGACGGATGGACAGGATCCCACACCCGGCTCCCTGTTCCTTTCAGTATTGTCGTCAGCCCCCAGTCTCCAAACTACCTCCCGGACCCCATCTTGCTCCCTTCCCTGCTCCCTTTGCCTGCCCAGCTGGTCTCGGTCCTTTCACCCCACCCCACCCTCCTGGTGCGAGACCCTTCTCCTCCGCAGCTCCTCGCCGTGCTCCAGCTGACAGCTGCTCTCATCCCCTCTCTCCTCTCAGCACGGGGAGGGCTTTCCCTGAGCAAGCCGAGCCATCGCTGGGATTCAGTGAAGGGGCAGGGCGCTGCAGCCGGGGCTCCCAAGCCACGTATCTGAGTGCTCCCGGCTAGTCCCAGTTCAAAGCAGGTGAAACAATAATAAAAAGAGAGAGAAGGGAATAAATCAGGGCACGAGACAAGGATCAAATCCCCACCCCCCAGGCTGCAGCCTCCTCCCCCCGGGGTGTGCGTGCGTGCGTGCGTGCGTGCACGGTGTGTGTCTTTGTCACTTGTCTTTGCACTTGGGCCCCTTATCAAGCCCCTCCCAGAGATGGCAGCTGGTTACGTTTGATTCAAGGAGTCCCCAGGCCTAGAGCCCCACTGGCCGAGCTGGGCTGAGAGCTGAGTTTGTTCTGCCATAAACTGAGACATCCGTATAACCGCCCCCCCGTCCCGCCCCACACGCTGCCCCTGTGCTCTCTCCCCAGCTACGCAGGGTCAGGCCTTGGCCTGCTGTCGGGGGATTTCCCAGGGGGTGACTGTGCCAGGAACACACTTCCCTCTAGGGCTGGGTGGGAGGCTCCACCCTTCAGGTGAGCTACAGAAGGAAGCTTGTGAGGGTTAGGGATCCCCTGGGTCTGTCTGGGGGAGGAGAGGGGCTTTCCCAGGAGCCCTGGCCAGAGCCAGCTCAGGTAACTGCGTTCCGCCTCCCTCCCCTTTGCTGTTTAAATTGGGTCTAGCCGGGCATTTTACTCTTCTGTATGAGGAGAGATTAATAAGACTGGGACTGTTCAGCTTGGAAAAGAGACGACTAAGGGGGAATACGATAGAGGTCTATAAAATCATGACTGGTGTGGAGAAAGTAAATAAGGAAGTGTTATTTACTCCTTCTCATAACACAAGAACTAGGGGTCACCAAATGAAATGAATAGGCAGCAGGTTTAAAACAAACAAAAGGAAGTATTTCTTCACACAGCTAGGGTGACCAGATGTCCCGATTTTATAGGGACAGTCCTGATATTCGGGGCTTTGTCTTATATAGGTGCCTATTGCCCCCACCCTCTGTCCTGATTCTTCACACTTGGTGTCTGGTCACCCTGCGCACAAGGCACAGTCAACCTGCGGAACTCCTTGGCAGAAGATATTGTGAAGGCCAAGACCATAACGGGGTTCAAAAAAGAACTAGAGAAGTTCATGGAGGATAGGTCCATCAGGTGTCCCTGGCCTCTGTTTGCCAGGAGCTGGGAATGGGCGACGGGGGATGGATCACTTGATGATTCCCTGTTCTGTTCATTCCCTTTGGGGCACCCGGCATTGGCCACGGTCGGCAGACAGGACACTGGGCTAGATGGACCTTTGGTCTGACCCAGTGTGGTCGTTCCTATGTTCTGCTTGCTGTCCTGCAGCGTTTCTGGGAGCTGCTACACAACTGCTGCAGCCAACCCAGAGACAGCTGCGTCCCAGCAAGGGGCGAGCGCATTCCCCTGCCTATCTTGGGGCTCCAGGATTCCTTATCCCTCTGGTGACTGTCATTAACGATGGTCATTGGGTGCATCTGACGGCGGCTCCCCTTCCAAGGTGCGATCACATTGCCACAGCGCGGAGGCGAGGGTGCTGGAGGAGCACCAGGCCCCGTGGTTTATAATGCCCACGCAGGGACAGGATACGCCGGGGAACGTTGCCGAGGGTGGACAAGCACTGGATTCGCTCGCACCTGGAGAGTCAGATCTCCGTCGCGCCCAGGGCCCCTCTCGCCAGCGGCCTGCTCCGGGTGCCGGCGTGCGAAGGGAGGGCCGCGTGCTCGTGGATCGGACGGGGTGCGTTTGGCATTCTCTGTGGTCTGGTAGAAATGACGGCGCGAGGGTCGACGTTTTTCCAGAGGGCTCAGTGCCCCCAGTGGGGGCCCAGTTCAGGAGGGTGGGTGGCCGGCTCTCGGGGGAACGTGGCAAACCTGCCCCTTAGGTGCCTAAATGGGGGGCTCCCTGGAAAACTGGGCCTAGTGTGCAGGGCCACGCTGGATCCGGCCCTGCCAAGGCTTTGACGCCCACTTGGCAGCGGGGTAAGGCGGCCGGTGGCGCGGGGAATGGGGTCGCTCTGCACCAGGGGGCAGGGTTAGGAGACTTTTCTCCAGTCCAAAGGGGGATCAAAGTCTTGGTTCCACCCAGCTCACGGGTGCCAGCTCCCAGCCCTGCTCTTCCTTATCGCGCCCAGCCTGGGAGGCGAAGCCTCCGGTCCCATATTCGGAGGCGCTGGGGCTGTGCGCCAAGGCGCCTTGGGAAACGCAGTCCCGCTTCCTTGCCCAAGAGGCTCTGGAGAGGCAACTTTGGGGGGCCCCTGGACTACCACTCCCAGCAGGCCCTGCGGCCCCTCCCCCCCACCTGCTGTAGGAGCGGCTCGGTAACAGATCAATGGGGGGGGGGGTAATGTGTAAGTTTCATTTGCTTCCTAGTTAAATGCAGCTCGGAGCCGCCGGCCGGCCCGCGGCAGGAGACACAGTGAGTCCGACCCAGGCCCCCGCGAGCCCCCCACGAACTCCCCGCAGCCCCCCGCGAGCCCCGCTGCAGCCCCCGCGAGTCCCCACGAACTCCCCGCAGCCCCCCACGAGCCCCACTGCAGCCCCCGCGGGCCCCCCACAGACA